AGAAAAAGATTCTTTTAATAATCCTAATATTTTGAAACTAGTACTAGAAGAATACTATCATAAAAATGATAGATTATGCCCAATTTGAAGCGATCTCAATTAATCCCCAGTTACTGCTCCTTTGAGCAGTAATAGGTAGGGATGACAGGATTCGAACCCGTGACATTTTGTACCCAAAACAAACGCGCTACCAAGCTGCGCCACATCCCTTCAATTGTTCCACAGTGTAATTGTAGAGAATTCCTGTCTTGTTTTCCATTCTCCTTCTATATATACAATTTTTGCATATACACTTTTTCTTATCATTTCGTCTTTTTGGTCTCATGTACCATATAATGTTACATATAAGAAATTGAAATATAAATAATAGTTAATAAAGAAACATAGTATGTTACATATAAGAAATTGAAATATAAATATATAGTTAATAAATAAATAAAAGAATAGTCAAATTAATAAATAAATAAAAGAATAGTCAAAGGAAAAGAGTTTTCATATAGATTAGATACAAAATATACAAATACATAGTCGTAAAAAAATGAGCACGGTAAGAGGGGGACTGTCTTTTTTTCTGTTTTATGAAAAGGGAAATCTTGTTTACCTGGTCATTGTACATTTTGAATTAGGAATTTAGGAATTCGGTGTGCAAATGAAACAAGATTCAGTTGATACTATGAGATGCCAGTTTGAGAGAAAGAGAAGTAGGAGCGAAATGCAGTTGATACTAAGAGATGCAGTTTGCAACATCAGGCTATATATAGTAAGAGCTGAGCAACAACTTCATCAACTGAGCAACAACTTCATCAGTAGTCCCAGAAGGCATGATCTACATCAGAATTATTTTAAAGAGCACATTCACGTGAAGACACGATCTGCATCAGAAATATTTTAAGAGTCTCTTCACATGGACAAAGAGCTAAGCAACGGCTGAAATATCTCAAAATGTCAGAGATATTATTTTTAATAAGATCTTCTGAAGAAGCTACAGATCCTCTGCAAAGGCTACAAGAATTCAAATCTGAGATTTGGAATTCAAATTTGAGATCTGGAATTCAAATTCGAGATTGTCTTTTTCCAACGGACAACTTCTCAAAACAGCTATAAAAGGATGAAGAAAGAAGCAAATCAAAGCACTTCCAACACAAGCAACAAGCAGTACATACGAACAAATGCTATACTCAAAAGTGAGAAAAACACTCAGAGCTCAAAGAGAAAATATTCAAGAGTGTTTAAAATCTTCATCATTGAGAGACTTGTTGCATATTGAAGATCCATTCAAGAAGTCTCAAAGTTGGAAGCCAGTGAAACTTGTTTTTCTACAAACAAGTGAAACAGCAGTGTCGGAGACATTGGACGTGATTAGTGCGGGCTTTGTGATCAAAGCACTAGATCACGGGATACGTCGAAGACAGGGGGAAAGTAGCACGGAGTTGTGAAATCCTGGATTGTCACACGGAGCTGTGAGATCCGAAGCAGCAGTATCGGAGGCACTGGGCGTGATTGTTATGGGCTTGGTGTCAAAGCACCAGATCACGGGATACGTCGACCGGATCGTGGAAGACGGGGGGAAAGTAGCACGGAGCTGTGAAATCCTGGAAAGTAGCACGGAGCTGTGAAATCCGAAGCAGCAGTGTTGGAGGCACTGGGCATGATTAGTGTGGGCTTAGTGATCAAAGCACTAGATCACAGAAATTCATTGTATCTAGGAACCAAGAAGTGGTGGATATAGTGAATTGCTCTTGGACGATAAGAGCAAGTGGAGTAGGGGGATTACATCACCTCTGAACCACTATAAATTGCCTTGTGTCATTTACTGCTTTATTTAATTACTTCTTATCACGTGGATATACTTGACACAATCACACAACTCGTATTTATTTATTCCGCTGCGTACAAGACTCTAACAATCTAGTTAAGAGTCTTGATATCTCTATCGCCTCAACAATTGTTGTATTCGCGAAAATGGTTTAAAAGTCTATTCACCCCCCAGAAAGTAAACCCATGTTTTCCTACTGAAATCATCAATGAAAGTAATAAAGTACTTACAACCTCCATGTGAGGGAACCTCCAACGAACACAGGTCTGAGTGAACAATCTCCAACTGTTTTGTGGCTCTCCTTGACTTGCCCACGGGGAAGGGATCTCTATGCTTCTTCCCAATCACACAAATCTCACAGTTACGATCAGGGACATTCACAACAGGTAAATCAGAAACAAGTTCCTTTCTCGTAGGATACTTTAACCCAGAGAAATGAAAATGTCCAAACCGCATATGCCATAACCAATTATCATCACAAACTTCATAATTAAATCAAGCGAGGAGAGTATGCTTAATTTTCAAAGGAAATAGTCGATTTTGGGACATATTTACCTTTGCAATCAAGACTCCATTAGCATCTGCAATGGTACAACACCCCTGAGTAATATTTATCTTATATCCTTTTTCTGACAATTGTCCCATACTCAACAAGTTTTGATGTAGTTCAGGAACATAGAACACATCGGATATAAAATTGTGAGTACCATCCTTCAACTGAATAGAGATTTTACCTTTTCTCAAAATTGGCACCTTTGACTTATTTCCAAATGTCACTTCAGACTGAACTGATTCATCCAGATCAGAAAACAATTCTTTCTTCCCACACATATGGTTACTACACCCTGTATCTAAAAACCATATGTTCTTATCTGTAGAAAAACTATCGATGGCCAAAAGTAAGGTTTTAGAACTCTCACCAGAATTTTCAGTAGTGTTTTTAGCAATGTTTGCTTGATTTCCACAATTGTCCTCATTATACCAGCAGTCTGCAATCTTGTGTTCATACTTGCCATAATTGTAGCAATGAAATGGAAATTTAACTTGTTTGGTATTACCTCCACCTCTTCCTTGGTTGGAGTTACCACGTCCTCCTCCTTGGTTGGAGTTACCACGTCCTCCTCCTTGGTTGAAGTTACCACGACCTCTTCCACTAGAACCTCCTCTTCCTCTTCCACGACCTCTACCAGATCCTCCACCTCTTTGATTAGTGCCAGTCACATTAAGAGTGACTTGACTCTTCAAAGCTCCTTCAGCTAGTGGTTCCGATTTTGACGCAATTCTGTCAATATGACTTTCTACCATACCTTTAAGCTCTGCAATTGATAAGAGCTCAGTTTTGTGTGACTCTATGATCGAAGCCACCACATACATGGTCATACTTCGTCGGCATAGTTCGAAGAAATTTTTCAACCACTGCACCATCTTCAATCGTATCTCCGTATAACCTCATCTTATTCACCATATCAATAAGACGAGTGAAATACCTATCTACTGTTTCTGTAGAAGTCGTCTCATAATTATCGTACAACATTCTCAACGACTGCAACTTAGACATCTGTGCCCGATCGACTCCTTTGTTTGACACCTTTAAGATGTCCCAAGCTTGCCTTGCTGTTTGAGCACGAGCTAATTGCCCAAAAATGGAGTAATGAACACCTTGGTGAATCTGTCCCAAGGCCAATTGATCTCACCTTGTAGCGGCTGCATCAGCTCCTTCGGGTAGACCGGGATCAACAAAGCTCCAAAGATTTTGAGCTTTCAAATGTGTGGACATCATAATTTGCCAATAATTGTAATTGGGACCCGACCATACAATATTGAAATTTGCAGCCATATTTCACTACGGGAAATATCTCGGGGTTGAAGAGTTGACTGGCTCTGATACCAAATGTTAGATATATTAAATATAATATATTTAATATAATATATATTAAATATAATATATATATATATATATAATATTTGAGAAGAGAGAGAGAGAGAGATGAATAAACAGATAATGTTTATTACTTGGATGATTAACAAATGAACAAAATTCACATATTTATACTAAAGGAAAGCTAATAATTAGGGAACTAATGCTACATGTACTGCTATAATCTAGGCCACTCCTCACATTAACTAATCATACATGAGACACCACACACCCATGTTTATTTAGTGCATTATTTGACTTGATTTAATTAATTATAATAATATTATTATTATAACAATGATTCACACACAATTACATGAACCATGGTCCACATAAAAATTTACTCGGCAGGAGTCTAATTCAAATCCCGTCATCAATTTATTTTAAAATAAAAAAAGAAAACAAAAAAAAAAAAAAACAAAACTAAACTAAACTAAACAAAGAGAAATGGCCCAAGAAAAATCATGTCGAATAAAATAATGTTGGAACGTTGAACACTTAGACAACTTAGTAACAAGCGTCAAGATTCGCTTCATAAATAATTATTTCCCTATGCGTTTTGGGATTTATATGAAAGCAATAATATAATTTGCATTTTTTTCTTACCTAAAGCTTTGACTCTGGTAATTAAACAATTCAATAATTGTAATTTTATTTTTTCCAAATAAAAAATAATTAATATTTTGATATTTATTATCCTATGATCACAACATAAATCATAGGTTTAACATGAATCATAATCAAAGGTGTAAACAATGAAGGAGATAAACAAAGAGTGCCTAGTCACTCAAAGTGAGACAAGAACAATATATAATTTAAGTTAGTAGAGTATGAACTCTATTTAAGAATGTAAAATATTCATTGTTAATTTGGATTTATTAAAAAAACAAAAAACAAAAAAACATGAGCCAGTTGGCATTTGGAGGGCTACAATAAAACTGGATATATTATTTTAAGTCATTTAATTTTTAAAAAATATAATAAAAATTGAAGGATCATGTGTTTGCAAATAAATTATTGCACATAAAACAACATCAAGCTTTTCGTCATTCATCCTTTCCGACAAAGAACACCCCGCATATATTATTACTAGTTCTACACAATCATTGTGCAATTCATTTAAATTAGGTCGTTCCAATAAAAATTAGACTCTGGACAATATCTTAATTTGAGACCCTTTTTTAAAGTAATTTGTATATATAAATAATAGTTGTTTAAAAAATTGTATCAAAATATAAATATTGTATAAAAAATACATATAAAATTTCATTTAAAAAGTGACATGCGTCGTGCATATTTAGACGCAAAATCATTTATCAAACTTTTGATATCAACTTCTTCCAAAAACCCATTTCCAATGGAGATCAAAGCTATTCCATTGAGTTTCTCTTACAACACACCTGATTGTAATTAACATTTGGAATAAGGGTCAAATAGGCCATCGAACTGCACACAATAATGCAATTAGGCCACTGAACTAAAAAAAACAACAATTAGGCCACTAAACTAAGCAATTTCATTCAATTATTCTAATTTACAGATTTTGTAGGTTACTAACAGGTCACCCAAATAATTTAAAATATTTTTTAAAAAATTATTATTTAAAAATAATAAATTAAAATTAAAAAAAAAAACATTAACCATCTCCGCCAGAGACGAGTTTCTTGTCTCCGGCCATGGACGAAGAAAGTTTCTTCGTCTCCATGGCCGGAGACGAAGAAACTCTTCGTCTCCATGGCCGGAGACGAAGAAACTCTTCGTCTCCGGCCATGGGTTCTTCGTCTCCGGTAGAGACGAGTTTTTTTTTTAATTATTTTTAAATAATAATTTTTTAAAAAATATTTTAAATTGTTTGGGTGACCTGTTAGTAACCTACAAAACCTGTAAATTAGAATAATTGAATGAAATTGCTTAGTTTAGTGGCCTAATTGTTGTTTTTTTTTTTGTTCAGTGGCCTAATTGCATTATTGTGTGCAGTTCAATGGCCTATTTGACCCTTATTCCTTAACATTTCAACAATTTTAACTTTCAAAAACTCTTTTCTGCAGAGGCAACAGTAAATTAGATAGTCAATAATATTCAATATGCAATAGTAGCATTTGGAAAACAACTCATCTGTCTCAATGACTTCAATATACTCATTTCCGCTATCTTTCCTTTCGATAAAATCTCTCTAAGCAATTTTAGCTCAATATACAATTCATTTCCATCAATATCACCACACTGCTCTTAAGAGCTGCTAATTGAGATTTAGGAATTGAATTAAAAAATAAAAATAATGTTAATTTTTAATTAGCAGGGGGTCTCAGTCAAAGATGCATAATTGTTATTTGAGATTTTGAATTGAGAATTGTCATTCTTAATTACCAATGGTACTTGTCAATTGAGATTTAGGAATTAGGAATGCCAAAAGTAGGGAAGGGAATCAAGGAATTAATATATATATATATATATATATATATATATATATATATATATATATATATATATATATATATATTAATTCATCGATTCCCTTATATTAAATATGGGGCCTCTAAAAATTAGGGACCCTATGCGGTCGTACATGTTAGACATGCTCAAAACCGGCCCTGAATTTAATGTCCAATAATATTTATATTTAAATAAGTAATTCAAAATGTATCGATACAAAATTATATGAGAAGTTCATTATAGTTGCTATTAAAATTAATATTTAATTTATACTTTTTTAAAAAAAAAATTATCTAAAATACTTATTATAGTTGACATGGCATTAAGTAGTAAATACTACTTTTAGTTGGATGTACTCTAAATTTTATTAATATGACAAAGAACACCCCACATACATTATTAAATGGAATTATTTAGGCCATCAGGTTTGCAAAATATTTCAGATAAAACAACATGACTTTCAATTCAATTTTGAGTGCATGAATCTTAATATAGCTATTTTGAAGCTCCTAAAAAAAACTCCTCAAGTTTTTCGTCATTCATCCTTCCCGACAAAGAACACTCCACATATCTTCATAACTATAATATAGCCATATGGTTTGGTGAGCAATTATTGTAACAATAATTGCTCACCAAACTATATGGTTATATCTTCTTAACTATAATATAGTCATATAATTTGGTGAGCAATTATTGTAACAATAATTACTCACCAAACCATATGGTTATATATAGTTATAAGATAAGATAAGATAAGATAAGATCAGATGAGATAAAATTTATTTATTTATTTATTACATGGTGTATAAAAATTCAAATTAACCATAATTCATTTTCATCTCTTGCCCCATCCAATCCATCTAAAAACTCACAAATAAACTTCAATTGAGATTATACTAATTAGGTTAATCTTAAAAATTTAGTACATAGTGATGGAATTAATTAACCCGGGGATCCGACTTAACTAACCCGAATGAGAATATAAATAATAAATAAATGATACGAGCGATATAACGAAGGCCGTGAGACCGTAGCTTGTATTAAATGCTGTGGAATTAGCTATTACAATGATTCTTCAGTACAAAGTGTGTCTGTAAAGTAGATCGTGTCCTAACTGGACAAGGTGGGGGGTTTTTATACAACCCCCGCCCCTAACCGCCACCCCCTAAAGCGGGGGTGGTTAGATCCGAGTTGACCGCGCCCGGTCTCGCGACCGGGCCGTGCTGTGGGGCCAGGCCGAGCCCGGCATGGGCTCGGGCCGAGCCCATTTGGAGGTCGGCCCGGCCTCCTGGAGAGGCCGGCCCGGCCTCCGACGTGGCCCGTGCGGGGGCCACGTGGCGAGGCCCCGCCCGGGGCGGGTACGTGGCGCCGCCCCGGGACCCGTTCTTGTTCGCGCCCCCGGGTCGGTGCGGGTCGATTCCTAATATATCCGTCATCAGTCCCCCACTCTCCGAGCTGCGAGTAATCGTCAGTGAAGGAGAGTAAACGCTCTGGCCGACCTCCAAAAATGCCGACCCCGAGACGCCCGCGTCCCCGCGTTATAGTTGCCGTCCCAGTGTACTTCTCGCGATAATGATGAAAAAATTCCCTCCGAAATATGACTCCTTCATCTGTTAGGACACATACACAGTAGAGTCCTCTTAGGTCTTGGTCATCTTCTCCAAGTCAACCAATCACATCCCTCTTTTCATCTTTCCCCCCCCCCCCCCTCCTTTTTTGCATTCTGAATTTCAAAATTCCCCCTCTTCCTATCTCCCCCTCTTCTATACAAACCCCTTCTCCCCTCTCATTCTACACTTTTACCATCCCAACATCACACCCCTCTCCCCCAAAGCTCCGGCGAGCCACCACCCTCCATCGGATTCCGGCGACCACCCCACGACGGCAACTTCCGGCGAGCCACCATCGAATTCCGGCGAGCCCGTGGCAACAAGTTCCGGCCGCTCTCCAACTTCCCCCGTCGCCGAGCCGTAGGCCCGAGCGTGGTGAATTTGCAGAAAGTACAGACGAGCTCATCGAGGGTGTCGTCTAGGCCATACTGACATATTCTGGCAATGGAGAACAGTGCTTCTATGCATTCATGGAGGACTTCTTCTTCATCCGCCTGTTCGAAAATGGCTGCCAAGGTAGCAACTGAGGGGCCTGCAATGGAAGCGAACAGATCCCTGCCCAGACGGCGATCGAAATCGCACATTATGTAGGGATTCATACGCTTGGATCGGTTGATTAGCTGGATCCATTGATTCGGGTTCATTTCTTGAGGAGCTGCAGCAGAATCGAAGAGGATTGCATTGGCAGAAATGGACTGGAAAAGCTCAGAGAGGTACTCCCTGGGGAGATCTTGACCGGCATTGATTGCTCTGTTATTTCTAATGAACTCATCTTCTGTCATCTTCTTCTTCACCTGGGGATTATGCTGATCAGTGTTGAGCATGATGACAGAATAACACAGGATAAAAACCGCATCTTTACTGTAAAATATTTCCGAGGATTGTTGCTCGTAGAATCTCTCAGCAAATGCTTCAAGAACCCTCTGAATCTTCTGGGATTCTCCGGGCAGCCTGAAAGATTCCAGGTAAGTTCTGAGAGCATTGTCCAGTACCATTCCAGTGTACTCAAACGTGTCAGTGAACTCTTTGAGGACTTTAAGGTGGAAATCATCAGGATCTCCAAGGTAATCTCCAATGGCGGTTTTGTCCAGCTTTGGTGTGTATCTAAAGAACATAGCATAAGCTTTGGGATCAGATGTTGAGACCAAACCTGAGTGTTTCAAATACTCCATCCCCTTCTTCTCGTCCCGATTGAAATGGTCACCAGCAATCAAGATCTTCCTTTTCTGTGCCTTCCTCACCCTAACAAAATCAATCCAAGAATCCAAATCTTCATTATCCTCTCTCACCCTCTCCTCCCAGAAAGGTCTGTACTCAGAAATCTCGACGGGATAGGGGCCGGAAGGGATGGTGTCGCCTTCCCTGTCGATGTTCTCTGCGACCTTGTGGATGATGGTTGATAGGCCTTCGAAGGATTGGAGCTGCAAACTGGTGAGAGATCCACCTGAAGGGTATGCGTGCCTGCACAGCAGCTTTCCTGCGTCCTCAAAAATACTCCGGAAACTGGGATCGCAGTCGTAGTTCACGTAGGCTTCCACCACGAATGTGGGCTGCCGGCAGAAGTTTATCAGCCCTTCCACCGCCACTTCTTGCTGTGCCAGTGTGTTGGTTGCACCCGCCACTTTGAATAACACAAATGAGAAGAACGCTTCCAGTTGAAGCCGAACCGACCTGCGAAGGAAGTGATAGATGTTCAAGACAGTGCTGCAAATCATGGATAAAACGAGGGGCCTGGAGCAGGAGCCGTAGTGAATGAGGTGGTGGAAGAGGTCGTCCTGGATCATCCTCAACAGCTTGGGGTGCATGCCGATGCTGTCGCCGCTCAACTCGATGGCGGAGTTGATCAAAACCAGGGAGAAAAGCTGAATGCTCTCATCGGCGGTTTGGTACGTCACCCCCTCGGATTCCACCACTTCCACCACGTTCAACAACGAGCACAGGAAATGGAAGATGTCAACCGCCGCCCGGATCCCGTAGCCGGAATCGTCCAGCCCGCTGTCCTCCGTGTCCGACTCCGAATTCTCCCAGTCCGTCACCTCCACCTCCGGCAGCCGCGAGTACACTATGTGGACCAGCTCGTGCATTGTGAATCTCGCGCTGCGTTGCAGCAAATCGCCGCGGTTCGCCGATTGCTGCACCACCTGGAAGCACGAGTTCACCACCGTGCACACCGCCTGGTCCGTCAGCCAAATCGACGCCGGGTGTGCCATGATCGCCGTCAACACCTGCAATATCTTCATCATAACAGCGTCTTCGGAGGTGGGGTCGGTCTTTTCGAGGCGGCAGCTGGTGATGGCGGCGACGGAGGCGTTTATGGCCTCCCTGGCGCCGGGGGTTTTGTGGTCAAAGATTTGGAGCTTGAGGATCTTGAAGATGGAGGAGAGCGCCAGGCCGGTGGCGGCGGCGGGGATCTCGCCGTGCTGGATGACATCAAGAAACGGCAAGAGGTAGAGCGAGGGGTCGAGGTAGCGCCATTCTTGCTGGGGATTGAAGATGAGGGCTCGGAGGGATTTCAGGGACTGGGAGATCGGGGTGTCGTAGCATTCCTCCGTCGCGAAGTAGTGGTTCCCGTCGGAGGATCGCCGGAGCACGGCCAGAACCACGCCCACCTCCGTGTTTAGCATGCATGAGATTCCCAGCTCTTTTCTCCTTAGTCTCGTCATGCTTCAATTCCTCGTACGTAAGGCTTCAGTATTTAATATTACAAATTTTTAAGAACTTAGTAAACTACAATAGTAATTGAATTACAATTTTCAGAGTCACCGCGGATCAAAATTTTTAGACCTTTGAGATTTCTAGAGTTTAAGATTTGTAGTAAACACACACCTTGAATATCAATTCTTATTTTAATTGTAAATATATTTATGTTCATAATTTTATCATAGAAATTCACACATAATTATTAAATAACAAAATTTTTATATATAAATAAACCTCATATAGGGTATATTTTTATAACATATTGCACGAGACAAATACTAGTATTATATTGTTTAATGGATATTAATTACTTAGGTTTTGTCTTTATCATTTACTTAACATCATTATTTATTATATTGTTTGCAATTGTTAATTCGTGACAATGAGATTTATGAGTACATAAAAATATTATTATTATTATTATTATTATTATTATTATTATTATTATTATTATTATTATTATTATTATTATTATTATTATTATTATTATTTGTATCTAATATTCTACTGATGAGAACGGAATGGATTGTATTGAATAAACTTGGATTACAATTGTACAGACATAGGAATATATACAAGATGAATCATAGGGAGACAAGGAATCATAGGGAGACTAGAATAGGGAGTCATACTATGACTCAAATACAAGAATCCTAGTACTAGTCCTAATACTCCCCCTCAAGCACATGGTATACTTGTAACTTGTAACTTGTCTCTGAGAAAAGAAAACCTAGGAGCAGGCAATGCTTTGGTGAATATATCTGCAAGTTGATCTTTTGTTGAGATGAAATTTACTTGAATCTCTCTAGTAGCAACTTTATCTCGTACAAAGTGATAGTTTATCTCTACATGTTTGGTGCGAGCGTGGAAGATGGGATTGGCACACATATATGTAGCTCCAAGATTATCACACCATAACTTGGGAATCGAAATCCCTATTATACGGATTTCACGCAGAAGAGACATGATCCAAATTACTTCAGCACAAACATCTACTAGAGCTTTATATTTAGCCTCAGTAGAAGATCTAGCAGCGACCCTTTGTTTCTTGCAGACCCATGATACAAGATTAGATCCAAGAAAAATAGCAAAGCCACTTGTGGATTTTCTATACTCCGGACAGCCAGCCCAGTCAAAATTAGAGAAGGCATGAATTTCTCTTGAAGACGACTTCCTGACTCGTAGGCCGAAATTAATAGTTCCTTTAACATACCGTAATACTCTCTTTAGTTGCTCCCAGTGAGTAACTGTAGGTGCATACATGTGTTGACATAACTGATTGACTGCAAAGGACATATCCGGACGAGTGATAGTTAGATACTGTAGTGCACCTGCTAAACTCATGTATTTTGTAGGATCATCATGTGGAGTTGCGTCAATGGAAATAGATTTGACCGTGGGAATGGGGCTGGACAAGGACTTGCAGTCTGTCATTCCAGCACGTTTTAAAATATCATGCATGTATCTCTTTTGGGAAAGTAAAAACCCATCATTGTATTTAACTGCCTCAATTCCAAGAAAAAAACCTGGTTCACCAAGATCCCTGTTTTTAAATGTAGCAGAGAGTTTCGAAACTAGTTGAAGAACTAGATTCGTGTCACTTCCCATCATAAGAATATCATCCACATAAACAAGTAGATATACACACTCAGATCCCTGCGAATAGTAAAAAAGGGACACATCCGTTTTGGATGCCTGAAAACCAATAGATAGTAAAAAGGTGTGCAAACGATTAAACCAAGCTCGGGGAGCTTGTTTTAATCCATAAAGAGACCTTTTTAGCAGACATGCATGATTTGGACAGGAAGCATCAATATATCCAGGCGATTGCTTCATATACACAGTTTCAGAGAGATTACCGTTCAAGAAAGCATTATGAACATCCAATTGCTTAATGGTCCACCCAGATGATAAAGCAAGAGAAAGTAGTGACCTGACTGTGGTTGGTTTAACCACTGGACTAAGAGTATCGAAGAAGTTCTGACCTGGCACTTGATTAAACTCTTTTGCTACAAGTCTCGGCTTATGCCTCTCAATGGAACCATCAGCTTTTCGTTTCGTATGAAAACCCCATTTACACCCAATAATGTTCATGCCTGGCTGATATGGCATGAGTTGCCAAGGCTGATTTTGTAGTAGGGCATTAAATTCTTGATCCATAGCCTCTCGCCATTCTGAGATTTTAACAGCCTATGTGTAACAAGTGGGATCCGAAGGACAAACCTGAGCCGTCAAGATAAAAAGTGGAGCTTGAGACCGACTCCGAGTGTGCATCTCATGGGTCCGAACTGTGGATCTGATCGTTTTACCGCGAGGACGCCCACGTGGGCGTTTGACGGGCTGGACCGCCTCGGCAGGCAGCTCTCGGTTCGGCGAGGCAGATGGACCGGCGGCGGCAGTAGGTGGTGGTAGAGAGGAGTCTGAATCACTATCAGCGGGACTGGGTGGGGCGGCGGCAGGACCAAGTGGCGGTGAACTCGCAGTGGGATGAAAAACCGACTCTGCCCATGGGTAAGTCTGCAGAGCTAGAGATGGTTGCATAGTATTTTTAATAGCAAAAGGATAAACTGTGTCATCAAACCTTACATGCCTGCACACATAAATCGTGTTAGTCTGTAAGTCCATGCATCTATACCCCCGAAATGACTAAGGATAACCTAGCAAATCACAGGGAGAGGACCAGAACGAGAATTTATGACGATTATATGGCCTGATATATGGATAACACAAACACCCAAAGACCCTAAGAAAAGAAGTTTCAGACCTGTTTCAACTATGTGTCTATGTTTCCGTTCGACACGACCATTTTGTTCATGAGTGTAGGCACAGGATTTTCTATGAAATATACCTAACTAAGTAAAGGAATGATGCAATTTTTTGTATTCAGCTCCTAGATCAGACTAAACGGATTTAATTTTTGTGTTAAAAAATCATTCAACCATAGTACGAAACTTATCAAAGATAGCATACAGATCAGATTTTAATTTCATGGGAAAATACCAAGTGTAGCGAGTATAATCATCCACAAAAATAATGAAATAACGATAGCCATCAGTTGATAAAAGGGGAACTGGCCCCCAAAAATCTGTGTATATTAAATCAAGGACACTAGAACTGGAGGACTCAATACGTGCCAATGGGAATCGAGAGGATTTACCCATTTGACACGCATTACACAAACTAGAATTTCATCGAATGGAATTATTTGACCCACTAACCGGACACGACTGGAGAATACGAAGTAAAACACGATGATGTGGATGTCCTAAGCGATCATGCCACACTGACGGAGAAGTACGAGCTGTAAGGAAAACTGAAGGGGATGGAGTTGCAATTGGGAGCTTGTAGAGACCCCCATGACTATTGCCTTTAAGTAGAATTTCCTTGGTGTTGATATCTTTCACAAGAAAAAAGGATGGTGTGAAACTCAAAAAACACTCTATTATCTATTGCAAATTTCTTAACAGATAATAAAGAAGTAGAGACACTGGGAACATGAAGAATATTAGACAATTGGAAGGAACGAGACAGGGTATTAAAAGAAGCATGACCTACACGACTAATAGAGAGTGTATTACCATCACCCACATGCAATGTGTCATTGCCCGTGTATTCCTCCGATGTAGATAGGGTTGCAATATCCGGAGTCACATGATTGGTAGCCCCTGTATCAAGAATCCATGTCTGTGAATTATTAGGATGTGACTCGGTATTCTGATATACGAAATTTGCTTGTAGATGAGGATCCCAAATATGAGAATTTGATGAGGTTTTAGTTCCCAAACTATCCTGAAATACCAAATTAACCTGAGAACCCGGAACCCCTGAATAACGCTGAAAACAATTGGCTCCCGTGTGACCGAAACGTTTACAAATTTGACACAGATCATCATAGCGCCAAAAACAATTGGCTCCCGTGTGACCAAAACATTTGCAAATTTGACACGGATCATCATAGCGTCAATAACAATTGGCTCCCGTGTGAACAAAACATTTACAAATTTGACATGGATCATCATAGCGCCAAAAACAATTGGTTCCGGTGTGACCGAAACCTTTACAAATTTGACACGGATCATCAAAGCTATGTCTACCACGTTGCGGCATTTGTGTGATTGAGTCTGAATCAATATTGTCAAAAACATTTGTGATGTTGCGAACATGTTGATGCTGCCTCTAATCTTGGATCGGATTGTAACACCCCATTTTTCTTAAACTTACTTAACAACTAAAACCAAATTAAGATAAACTTAAGCAACGGAATAAAAACAACTAGATAACCAAGAGAGGTGTCACCGCCACAATCACCGCCCACGGTGACTGCACATGCTACAAAAGGGATCTAAAGAGTCAACCTCAAAAGAACTACAACCGAATAACTAGGGGATGAAACCCCGGTGTCCAGCACCAAACAAAAGGGAAACCACTACAAACCCAAATTAACATAAGAGTTTAGACTACAAGCTATCTAAGCTAAACTAGTCTAACTCGTACTCTCTTTCTACGAATAGGGCCCACCTGAAAGGGGTTAACAAACAACATGTAGCAAACAAAACTCGTTAGCACGAAGCTAAGTATAACGACACTCAACCCTGTAAAGTAATACAGTATATACTTTGGAAAACAGAAGTTTCACATTCTTGATTCAACCACTTAAAACACATTCATACTTTGGCGTTAGCTTCTAGATGCTTGCAGCCTAAATAATAAATAGGCATGCCTACAACAAAACTAAGCCACCTCAAGTACTCAACAATCTCATGCTTTCTCATACAACTCATAAAGCAAGCTCAATCTATCATATACTAATCATGCAATCTCGTGCAAGTCATATAACTCATGAATAACTCGTGCTACTAATCATGCAATCTCGTGCAAGACATATATCATAAGCAAACTCATGCTACTACTCATGCAATCTAGAGCAAGACATATATCATAAGCAAACTCATGCTACTACTCA